AATATTTCTATATTGCAATGTTTTTATTGTGATCTGTTACATGAGATCAGGTGTGGAATTTTCCACCTGTGGTGTCACGGCACTCAAAAAGTTTCAGATTTTAGAACATTTCAGATTTGGGATTTTTGGGTTAGAGATTCTCAGTCTATAATAGTATCGTATCAAGGCAGACAGTAATGAGTGTAAATTCTGTCCTAAATTGCCAAAGCAGCTGTGTGATTAGGGGAATTCGAAAGGGACAAATAAATTAACATTGTACCACATGGGTCCCTGCCATATAGAACCTCCGTCTGACGATTCCACTTTAAACTTCAATATCACACGTTTCCATAGTTATGAGCTAATTTGTTCACAGCTGATCTTGTCAAAAATCCAGTATTATTGCCCATTTAGTACACAATGAACCTGAAGGTACATACAGTGACTTTTAGTGCCTTTTCCAAGGAGTGACAGATCCACAGGTAGAGCCAAGATTTTTCTGACCTCCCATCCACTGTCCTTTCAACACCATCATGCTGAACACTCCCAAAAGTACAGTGAAAGTCCCAGCACCAGAAGTGGAAGCCACTCTTTCTCAATGTAATGGGACTTTACAAACAGAAATCAAACAGAGGGAGCCCCCACCTCCCCATTAAATTCAGCCAGCCCCATTACACACAATCTTTTGGTTTCTTTTCTAGCGTTTAGCTCAGACTCTTTTCTCTCTCTCTCTCTCTCTCTCTCTTTCAAAAGACACATTTGGAGATGAAACCATTCATAACTGCCCATCCACAGACAGTTTGTGGCAGCATAATTGACAATGAGTCTGCTGCAAAAAAATGAAAATGCTGTTTTAATAACCTTGGCCTAAAATACATTCTGTTGTATGCCTCAAAGGGTTTCAATAAAAAGTCAACCTGTAGAGACATATTTTCTTGGCTTAAACAACAATCCAAAGCATATAAATGTAGTCCAACTATAATGACATATTTATAGGCCAATAAAGCTTACACTGCAGCTTTCATACTTCACTTAAAGAAACTCTGTAAGAAGCAGTGTTATATAAAATAATTTTATTTTCAAACTATAGCCCAAGGAATAAAAAAATTCAAGTTTGCTATGTTTAACTGATAGTGTTTATACTTCTTAGCTGCAAAAAATTTTGTAAAATGAAATAATTCTTCATTTGACTACTTCCAACTGCCATACCAAATATGGGTATCAAGTCCACTTTATTACAAGAGCTAAGTACTGTAATTCTAAAGACAAAAATAAATAACTAGAGGCTTGTGTAGTGAATGATTTAATCAACCCAATTCTTCTGGAAAAACAGGTTCTTGTGTTCATTATGCTTATGAATAATACATTCCTTAACCCTTCTATTTTAACATAGATATTTTTCTTTTTTAAAAAATAAACTTCAGTGTGAAACAATCTGAAAGAAGGTAAAACATCTCACCAAGTAAAGTCATAATTTGCATTGGTTTCATATTGAACTTTCTTTATTTGAAAAGGACAAAGAGAAGGGAAGAGGATGAATGTACTTTACCACATCTCAGAAGTGTTTTTTTTAAGATTATTAGTTTTTCCACTATCCAGATCTGCAGTTTTAGTCATCAGCCATTTAAAGTCTTAAATGAAAACTCTAGAGATTTTTAAAAAGCAAACATGACATCCTCAAATATTGTCCAAATATGCTCCTTCAAGGGGAAGAAAGACTTGTGATTTGAATCAGAGCAGTTATTGGAAACTGCCATTTGGGGCAGAGTTTCTCTTTGTAGAGTACTAATTTGTTGACAGATACACATTTGTGAGAACATGCTTGTTTTTTTTTTACTATTCAGAGAGAGACGGGAAGTGACACAAACTGGGATTAAAGGGAAATTATTCTACCTAAAGACTGAGCAAGAAGGGCTCTTTAATTAGCTTTTATATTTTACAATTCTTTTTAAAGAGTCAGCCTGGTTATTTTGTCGTTATTGATTTTTAACATGATGAAATGACTCAGTTAAAAAATAACACACTAGTGTTTTACTTTACCCATAGAAAGGTGAGACTTTTTCCATTCTTTGCTCACTTTTACTAGTAAAAAAAAGGGGGGGGTCTTAAGTAATCTCACAGTTCATCTTTCATTGGTAAGAACAATGAGGAGTTGGAAGGGTTCTATAGAAGGAAAAACCTAATAAGTGTGTGAACTTCCATTAACAATGCGGTATTGGAGGTGGTTTCAGCGTGGCCAAGAGAAGGGAGATAAGAAAACCACCGCGTAGAAAGAAAAGTACAGACAACAAATATTTTGATGTTACAGACAGAGAAAGGAAGAGGCTGAAGAGAAAGTTGGACAGGAATGTGTACAGCTAATGACACCTAGCTTCAATATAATTCCTAACAATGTAGACCTGCACACCTTAGATCAGGCAGACAGTGGAAACTCATTACATTAAGGAAAATTTTTGTTTCTCTTTCCACATTATTACAACACAGTGTGCATTCCAATTACAAAAGCTATTTGTCTCAAATTCCCCATCGTTCATACCAACTGAGTAGAATTTCAAGGCCCTAAATTCTATCCTTAAAGGGGTATTTTACATTAAAAAAAAAAAAAAAGCACACGATGTTTCTTGCCTACCAGAGAGCCTTCTAATCAATCTCCTGTCAATTATTTCCTTTTCTCAGCATTAATGGCAGAGCTTGTCTCCCAAATGAGTCAAAAAAAAGAAGGTAAAAATCAGAATCACCTAGAACGCTTTTTGTCAGTATATATTCTTTGGCTGTGCCTTGATCCTACTAAATGAAGAACCTGCAGACTGGACACAGTAATGAGTGTTGTCTTTAAAATTCATATTGTAAGTCTAATGAACAACTGTTCAATATATTTAACAACCACTGATTTAGATCTTCCGGACTAAGCTGTGAGTACTTTGAATATTCACTATAAACTAATTTCTTTGAGAACAATTGTAAAAATGTACACTATGGATATTTTTTTAAATCCAGGGAGATCAAAGCCTAAATCTTTTCATGAAATTGAGAAATTGGATTTCTTGTAGTGTTCATTAGTAAACTATCCATTTTAAACACAAATCAACAATACTACAAATACTCTGGTTTGTATGAGTGACATCAAGCTTAACCATCTACACATCCTTTTGTCCCCTGTGGGTTTCCTGTTTAATTTTTTATTACTAACAGAATATTCCATAACTCAAAAAAAAAAAAAGAATCAAACAAACAAAAGAAAGCTTTTAATGTTAAGGACAACATAAGACAATGACAGTATAACTTAGATCACGCATTAGAAAAGTAACCCAAAAGACACATTCAGCATGATCACAGGTCATAAGACTAGTCACTGTGTGTTCACAGAATTAGAGGTGGAGAGCAGATATATGAAGACCATTTTAAAAAATTCTTTGGTTTTAGGAGGAAAAACCCTGGTTTAATAATTTTCTCTTAATGTACAGGTGACAGTCAGACAGCCACGTCCAAGCATTACTGTCTACATCTACCCAAAGAAGCCAGGAAATTGGTGAGTTCAACTCAAACTGAAAGGAAATATTCATGCTATCCCCCAAATACAGCACAGCTCATCCCAAACCAGAGTCACATGAAAGACAGTCAGTTACTGGTGTTATTCAGTCTCTTTATGCCAATTAAAATAATTGTCTAAGTTTGTTGTAATAGTTAATTTCTAGGTTTAAAAAAAAAAACAGGAAGTTGACACATTAAGGCATAAAATAAGGCTGTGAAAATCAGCATTGTGCTAGAATGAAAGAAAAAGATGCCATAATGTGTTAAAGTGAAGTTCCTCTTTGCCTAAAGAGGAAATAAGTAGTCTAAATCAGAGGTCAACAACTTTGGTCTTGAGCAATGCTAGGAGAATAACTCAGTGAATGCCGCAGGGGGATACAAACAGAAGGAAAAAACAAGGAAGCACACAAAAGTATTAAGAAAAAGCAACAGATTTACTTATGGAGTTCCTCACACAAGGTGACTTCAAATAGGTTGTGGAAAAATATAATTAGAGTATGAGTTTATTTTGGTGCAAATTTTTTTTTAAATCCACACTTTTTTTCATATTACATATTTTTATGCCCTTTTTCTATGCTGGTCGCTATGTGAGACTTTTCATATCTTATATTTCACAAGACCCTGTAAAGTCCCCTTGTGTTTTAGATGGGGAAACAGGGGCTTAGAGGTTAAATTATTCACCTAAAGTCACACAGCTAAGTAAGTAGCAGAGGTAACATTCGAACACTGAACAGAATGACTATTCCAAAGACCAAACATAAATAACACCAACACCCAAGTTCTCCTTTAAACTTAATAGTATTGCCAGCCTGGATGGTTTGGATCTTGGACCTGGCAGTTGGAGAAACACACCTGGTGTGTGTGCACATATGCCCCAAATCCTGAAAACAGGGAGAAATGGAGGAGAAGGGATTGTGGCATTACCATGCCTTGGGGGTGGGGTGCTTTCTCTCTCTCCTCCCCTCTCTCTGGTAAGTGCAAGTACCATCTAGAAAATAAAAGAAAAAAGAAAAGAAAAAAAGAAAAGAGAAAATACGTGGAAGAGGGAAAAGAAAACTGAAAATATTTAACTGATGGTGACCATTTAATGCTATAAGCTTGGAGAAACCCACACCATAGTGTGCCAACCAGCAGTTCCTCTGCCTTGAAGTCTTCTCTTGCTCCACATGGAATAGCTCACCCTCTTCCTTACTTTGCTTTCTACCCAACATAAAACATGAAATTCTGACATGATTTTAATAGACGTCATACTATCTACTTAGAGCAAATATTTAAACTCTTTGTGAATTCAATTTTATGTGCCCTCATTAAGTCTTCTGCCTTAATACTGCACTGGAAGCTGCTTAAGGCCATGTGTTACATGAACCAGCACTGGGCTCTATATGGAGAAGGCCCTATGATTCGTCTTTTACCCACTCTGTCATCTCTCCATCCATATTCCTAGTCCCCTTTAAGGAAAAATATATTATAGAAGCACACATCATACTTACCAAGGTCAGCCTTTTCCTTGAGAACGTCTTTGAAGTTGAGTCCACTGTTTAGGGTTGACTGTCTGTACTTTAGCAGAGCTTCCTTCTGGCCATTCCTTCCCAGGGCCTCAGTTTTCACTGGCCCAGCTTGGAGGCCACATCTCCACTTAGAGAAATCAGAATGTACCCATTTGACCAGGTCTTCAAGCTTCACAATCACCTTTTCAGAAACAGCAATGACTTCATCCTACAAAAGGTGATCAGGGAAGAAGAAGAAAAAATTCTTTATGAGTTGAAGTAAACGATACATTCTCAGGAATG